TGAAAGACAGACACTCACCGTCTCCGTCTCCTGAACCAGAACCGGGATCTGCGAAGACACAAGAGACACAAACCATCAGATTTCTGCTCGTTATTAAACCCTTAAACCAACCGTCTCCTGGACGGGAAGCCATGCAGCTTTTTAGTTCCTTTAGTGGTTTATTATATAAAGATCTTTATTTAAGATGTGTGCTTTTACAAACTTCATGTATAAAGTTGTTATTTATTGTAAACCCGACAAGAATTTGCAGCCCTGAACATCCAAGGGAAGATTCCAGATATATGCAAATGCCCTCAATGTTACGGATTCATAAGACTTTTGGGCTTTTAAAAAAGAAATCAATTCCATTACTGACTGATGATGAATTTTCTGTGTGGGCTTGAGCAGGTTTGCAGCATTAAAGCCACTGTTACTGCTATTATCAGGGACTTTATTATTATTGATAATAATAATACCATAAGTGAAAATAAACCTTGGAGATGTCCCAGTGAGTACGCGTACCACTTGTGGTACTTGGGCTCTCTCTGGTGGTAGGCGGGAAATCTCCAATGTTTTTAAAGATTAAATAATATACCATTGTGGAGGTATGCAAAGACGACACAAGAGTTTCCGAAGCTCTTCTGGGAGCCTGAGTCAACCAAAACATGTCTCCCCGAGCGTGAGTCCTCTGTGAAGAGCAGCCTTCCCTTATCGCCGGTCGCGGCTGTTACAAAGCGCTGGCGGGCTGGCCAATTAGTCCAATCCAGTTTCAGTGGATTGGACTAATTGGTACTGGTTTAAACAAGAACCAGACCCATTTATATTTATATAGACCCATCAGTACACTGTCACCCACGAGCAAAAACCTGGAGATGGTCGAGAGGAAGAACTCCCTTTCAACAGGAAGTGACCTCCAGCAGAACCGAGCTTATAGACTCTACTTGGACAGACCACCCAAGTGACTAATTTTAGCATTTTTTTTTAATATTTTCAGTGATAATCATGCAAATCATGATCTATTGTTTTGTGTGAATAAAATGGTTCTGCTTTGATTTACTCAAACCAAGTACAAAATCAAACCCCATAGTTAGTAAAAATAACACTATTTCACTCAGGGGGACTACAAACTTAAATATTGTTCCATCTATAAGATTTATCAATGGGTTGTGGCTAAAGGCATCAGGTGACCGATCGGGTTAAAAAGAGCTACAAACCAAGAGCCGAAATGAACCAAAATATACTTCAAGCATAATTCAAATGTTTAAACCGGCACAAACATATACAGGCTGACACATGAAGCTGCAAACATTTGTACTGAACCCCAAAATCAGGGCTATTAATCTTGTACTCATTGATCAACTTTCATTCATTCAGAGCAAATACATGTCAATCATGGTACAGCAGGTACACGTATGTGGATGTAAGGGTGTATTGCTCTCTGGCAGCAGGTTTAAATAAACAGGATTATGTTTGCGGCGCCTCGTTGGCTCAGACCTGCGGCTCCATCAGGAAATTGACTGACAGCATAAAACTTGGCACGTCTGCCTCGAATTAAGAAATGGACGCCACGTTTGGAGTTTCTGGCACGCAGCTGCTGCTGCATTAAGAAATGGACACCGGCTGCTTTGTTCAATTAAATTTCACCTTTAGCTGCTTCACTTCTTTACAAAGTCATGATGAGATTGTTTTTCATGGGAAAGCAGGAAGAAATGGTCCGAGAGTGGGTACAGATATTAATGGTTCTGTCAGTGTGGTATTGATTAAACGTTAAGAGTTTGGTTGCAAACTGCAGGTGGGACTCTGCTTCAACCTCTTAAAAGCAAAAAAACCCAAAAAACATCAGTGGGTGAGGGAGATGTTGATTTAGTAAAGAGAAAATTATTTAATGTTCAAGGTGAAGGTTTAAATCTTTTTCCAAAATCAGTGAGCAGTTTGGGCTTGTTCTTTGATACACTATTTTATGACCAGTATTCAGTTTTTGTAGTCATGTGACTGCTAATGACATGCCATTAAGTGTAAAGAGAGAACCAGGCTCAGGGAGGGCCGGCCATCTGCTGCGACCGGTTGGGGTGAGAGAAGGCCAAAAAGTGAACGTTCCCAGTTTCTGTTTGGTGTCCAAGTTTTCAGGTCAGCTAATACTTTTTGGCTAGCTAGCCAAATAAGATCTCTAATCACATGATATATTTTCATAATAATAACCATAGGAACCAAAACACAGTTAGCCAGCTAGCTAGAATTAAATTGATAAAGTAACTCACGGTAAAGTATACTCTATACCAGGAGTTTGGATGAATTAGCCAACCACATCTATATTAGCATAGTTTGCTAAATAAGAAATCTTAAAGCGTGTTTGTGTCAGCTGATAGCCACCTTCATGTGACCACTTGCTGATATTACAAGGAGAGAATCCAGATAATGAAAAGATCCCGGGTGTGGTGAAGTTGCTTCCTTGTACAGGACTCAGAAAATCATCTTAGGATCAGAAGGTGCTTGATCCCTTACGTAGCACCTAGCTAGCTAACTTTAGCTAAACTTGCTAACATTGTTATTAGCAAAATGCTACCTGAAGCCACAGCAGTGGTTTTTTTGCAGTTATGTGGGGTTTGTGAGCTGGGAGACAGCCTTTTATTGACATTTGTTTGACATGTAATCATCTGTAAGCTAATATCATATATTTTAGCATCAAAACTGAACTGAGTTCTTAAAATCAGTCCACAGCCTGTCAGAGAAGTCAAAATGTTACAGTTACAATCTGTTCTAACACTGGAAAAAAGAACTTATGAAAACAAGTTACCCAACATGAAATAATACATTTATAACCACACTTCCGTGTCCTTCATGGTTTAGTTTGATTTCCTACAATCGAATCAAAACCTATAAAACAAGAGCCTGAAACAGACGTTTGTTGGAAACGGGTCTATCAGGGATTCAATTAGATAAACAAAACATTACAACGCTGTATTGATTTGCTGGAGGCAGATTTAGTTATACATGAGCGCAGAGCACACTTTAGAAACTGATAACAAGTAATGATTAGAATTGCACTAGATGAGACAAAGAAAGATACATCACAGAAATATATGCACCGTGGGTAACGAGAGGAGTCAGTTGGTACAGATTGGAAAATAATAAGGAACACAAGTGAAAGTCATACTTTTTTTTTCTAAAATCAATTTAGCCTAACTTGAAATAAGAATATAAAACAGAAGCTAATGATCCCTGCTGGGAAATGCAAGGAAATCAGCTGTCTGCCGCCATATTTAGCCTATATATGAAAGAGCGATGGGTAACAAACTAACAAGGAATGAAAGTAATTACAGGTGGGAGAAATATACTGAACTCTAAACCTGTTTTTACTGTTTAATTCATACATGATGTGACAAAAGAACAAATAGTCCACTGTCATTCCCAGGACATCTAGTACTTGACTGAGTTTGTCAAAGTCATTGATTTTCACAGACGTGGTGTTCCTGAAACGATTTCGTTGCCTTTTCTGACTTTGGGTAAATTTTATTCCTCAATTAAATTGAAATGCTCAGTCATATTAAGATTCGCCATGCACTGTTATTAACTTTAGAGACATAAAACTACAGTAAACATGTAGTTTCTCTGTAAACTTGGACTCTCACCTTGGAACAAACCTCAAGTGGCCATTGGAGGGACTGCAGTTTATGGTGTTTCACTGCTCGGTTGGCGTAGACTGAAGAGTATGTTTATAAATGTGTGAATGTGATATTTTTGTGTCAATAAGACTAAAAAACTGCTAAATAAAAATCAATCCACTTACAATTTACTGTTCTGATGAAATGCAGATATCCAGCTGCTGACTGCCGTCACTATACCGACTCACAGTATTTATAGAAAGCACTTATTTAGATAAGCTGGCATGTGGACAGTATACATAGTTTTAATTTGGCTCTGTCCCATCCTTGGCTTATTTCTCAGGCCAGGAAATTCCTGCTTGTCCACAGCCTTGGACAGACGTCTGAGTTTGGATCTTCCTCCTCCGAGATATTCAGAAAACTGAACTAAAGTGCAGTAAAACAAACAGTAAAGCACAAAATGGTCATACTGGACCAGAACCACGGCGTCTTGCTGTAGCACCCTCCCTCCAGCTTGCAGCAGTTTAAAACAGGATTAAATGTCTGTCTGAGCAGTGATGTCACCAACATCTGAAAATGACTGTTTACCCTGTAGGATGAGAGCACACAGGGCAGGATGGAGGCAGTTTTCTGCAAAAAACCTTTGAAACAAGTTGTTTCTTTATCAAAAACTGAAGAAAAGCTCGAATTTGAAGCTTGAAATTGTAATTTGATCAAACCTGAAAAAGCAGGGATGCAGTCAGACAGGAAGATGGAGGAAGATGAAAGAATGCGAGGTTGAATCAGACTGAGATGCTTTAGGTTTTAGATCCAGCTGATAAAAAGAATCTGTAACTGCGCTGGACGCTGGATC